AAATGCCACAAATCTGAAGGATTACTTTTCAAAATTATACTGTAATGTTTGTGTGTGTTTTATTTTACATTTGATGATACAAGTGGAAGAAGAGGATCTGGATTTTGGATCAGTGACGCACAAATTTTTACACCACAGTTTTTGTAGAAGGACATAAATTACTTAAGAGACTTTGATTTGTGAAATAAAATCTTACTGGATTAGAAACTCTATTGTTCGAGCTACAGAGGATTGCATGGGGGTTTCAATTGATTATAATCCAGTATTCTTATTACTTGAATCACTACATGCTCTTTTAGCATTCAGTAAATCCATTCTGAAACACAGGTATAATCGAGAAATGAGAATTAGAAACCAGTAAAAGCAACACTCTACAATTCCGCTTTATAAGTAGAGTTATGATTCCACCACAGGCTCTAGTTGCTTCAAATATAAGTAGGATTTTTACAATGTCAAAGACTGGTAAAGCAGTGATTGATGATCTTCTATTTGACCAACTAGGACCACTCTTCTCTTAATTATTTTCAACAAATATCCATCATGTTAATCTCATTCCATACAAACTTTAATACTGCTACAAAAGTTTCACTTTTCTCAATGTTTTCGTTTATATATTGCATCTTACACAAAGCTTAATCAAAGCAAACCGGAGGGACGACCAGAAAAATCTTTGAAGATATCATCAACGGTGCCAGAAAGAAAATCGTCGGCGGTAGATTCTGGGGTTGAAACCTAGTTTGTTAGTGGGCTTAAGGCTTATTGCCTGTTAGTGGGTTTAAGCCCATAAAACTTACCTTTTGAGGGCACTTGATTACTCGCATCATTACTCTGATTTGCCCATTGTCGCGGTGGATGAGTCTTCATAGTAATACCTTGGCCAAAAAATAGAGCAAGGCAATTAGATTAAAATTAGGGAAATTTGCTAAATTGACTCAGTTTGAATTAGTGTTTTGCGAAATAACNTTTGCCTTATTTTTATCAACTTTTTCCTAAATTACCCTTTGATTAATTCCAAAAATTACAAATAAATGGTTTTTATAATTTTATAAAATTAAGAAAATACAAAAGAGTAATACACAAGACATATAGATTCATGTACAATTTTTTTTTTAACCTATGACTGAAAATTATTTATTTTTGCTTCTACCATGGTCGAATCTACTAGTAGATTAGGTGTTCTACGAATTTGAATAAATCTACGAGTGGTAGAATGAAGTATTCTACTAATTGCTCAATTTCTACATATCGCAGATTGCACAATCTACCATTTGCTTCAGTACTACCAGTCGCAGAATGCTATTTCTACCAATGTCTTTGTCATCTACGGCAGGCAGAATGCATATTCTACCCCTTCTATCTACCTCTTTCTCTATCTTCTACCAAATGGTAGAAAGTCTAAACTACCAAAAGTAGTTTAAATCCCCTAAATTTAGGACAATTAAATATTTACTTTCCATAAAATGATTTTTTCGGATATTTGCTTCCAATTACG